TTTATATGGCCTGCCTTATTCAGGAAAGTGGTCGATGTCAGGATAATCATGCCATTTCAGGCAGACTGCACGTCTCATTGGAGCGTAACAAACACTGACAAGGCACCGGGTAGTGAGGGGGGAGTGTGTGTGTGTGCGCGCACACGTGTGAGGCTGGGAGTGCCATGGACTGAATCATAGAATCATAGAATCATAGAATGGCATAGGCTGGAAGGGACCTTAGAGATCATCTAATCCAACCTCCCTGTCATGGGCAGGGACGTCTCTCAACTAGATCAGGCTACTCAAGGCTCTGTCCAGCTTGGCCTTGAACACCTCCAGGAAGGGGGCATCTACAACTTCTCTGGGCAATTTATTCCAAAGTCTTACCACCTTTGTACTGAAGAATTTCTTCCTAAGATCTAATATAAATCTGTTCAACTTAAACCCATTTCCCCTTGTCCTATCAGTGGACACTCTTGTAAAAAGTCCCTCCCCAGCCTTCCTGTAAGTTCCCTTCAGGTATTGGAAGGCAGCTATTAGGTCCCCCCAAAGTCTTCTCTTTTCAAGGCTGAACAATCCCAGCTCCCGCAACCTGTCCTCGTAGCAGAGGTGCTCCAGCCCCTGGATCATCTTTGTGGCCCTCTTCTGAACACGCTCCAACAAATCTGTCTCTCTTGTGGTGGGGACACCAGAACTGGACACAGTATTTGAGGTGGGGTCTCATAAGAGCAGAATAAAGGGGGAAAATCACCTCTCTTGACCTGCTGACCATGCTTCTCTTGATACATCCCAGGATGCGGTTGGCCTTCTGGGCCACATGAGTGCACTGCCGGCCCATGTTGAGCTTCTCATCAATAAACACCCCCAAATCCTTCTCTTCAGGGCTACTCTCAACCCACTCTGTGCCCAGTTTGTATTTGTGCCTAGGATTGGCCCGACGCAGGTGAAGGACCTTGCATTTTGACTTGTTGAAGCTCATGCAGTTAGCACTGGCCCATTTCTCAAGCCTATTGAGGTCTCTCTGGATGGCATCTCTTCCTTCAAGTGAGTCCACGGCACCACACAGCTTGGTGTCATTGACAAACTTACTGAGGGTGCACTCAATGCCATCATCCATGTCACTGACAAAGATGTTGAACAGTACTGGACCCAGAACAGACCCCTGAGGAACACCGCTTGAACTGAGGCAATGTCCAAATTTGCCTGCCCAGTCACCAGGTTCAGGAGGAGCCAATTCCTAGCAAAGCACTGGAGGCAGGAGTTGGAGTGGTTAGTGCTGATTTCAAACACATCTCCTTCAGAGCTGTCTCTGGGGCAAAGAAAAAATTGGGTAACTCTCCCTGTCTGCCCCCAAGCCCCCTCCGACTGCCACATTTCCCTCTCCAGGTTTTCTCCATCACTAGCTAAAACCATTTAAAATGTCATCATCTCTCTGCTGGTCCTAAATTGGCCATCTGATGTGGTTTTAATGCTCTATTTCCTATGCCAACCAGCCTTTGAAACACTCTCCATTAGCTTGCAGGGCTGACAGCCTCACATCTAGGGCGGGTGATGTTATCTAATGGTCAGAGCACAAGATGGAGAGTTGGGTCCCCGAGTCGGATTTGCTTTGTGCCGAAGGACACGTCCCTTCCTTCTTTGTTCCTGCCTGCTCGTCTATACCACGGGGCTCACAATGTCAGCCTGTTTCCACAGTGTTGTGTGTGTTTTGCTCCCACTTGAATGAGTTTAGGCAATGTGGCCGTTGTGTCTCTGCCAGGCTGGGGATGGGCTTGACCCTTCTGTGCTTGCATCGAGCTGCTCCAGAAACGCCCACAGAAGGAAAATTCTTTGCTGAAAGGTGTTTCTAGCAAATTAAATGAAGTTGCCTGTGTCTGCCCCTCCACGTCCTCTTTCTCTCCCCAGTTTGGAGTCCAAAACATCCAGGGAATCATGGATTAAGCCCTTTACAGGCACTTTTTCATCTTGGGTTACCTCACTTGCATGCACAGCCGGCTGCCCTCACGTTGTGCCCCTGTTGCAGCCTGTGGCTCAAAGTGGACATGCCAGGGAGCCTCCCAGCCCCCTGGTTGCCTGTTTGGGGACCGGAGTACACGTAGGCTGTAGGGAGAAAACAAATCCCCCTGGCCAGAGCAGGCAGCAGTAGTGCTGGCATACCAGAGCAGCACTGCTGCCGAAGGGGATGACTCTCACTGCGGTAGTGATGGAGGGCAGAGCCACTCGAGTGTGGCTGCCTTGCAGCACGCTGCTGACTTGGCCTGCCAGGCAGTCCTTCAAGCCCCAATGCTTTGTCATGCTGGCATCCCCTTGCTCAGCACACCCAAGCAAGCCTCGCATCTCCCCACGTGCCGCTCTTGCCCTGTGTCCCTGCGCAGATCACGGGACCCAGCAAGCCGCAGGAGTGCAGGAAAAGAGGGGAGGGCGGGGAGCTGGTTCTTCTACACTCCTCCTGCAAACTTCTGTAAACATGTTGCTAATGTGTTTGGGAGAAAACCCTCTGAAGAGATATTGTGCCAAATTTGGAGACTAATTTCAGTCATTAAGGTGTGAAACGAGGGATTTTTAGTGCCACTTTAAGTGTAAATCTCAAGGCATCTCCAAGAATTGGAGTTGCTGATGATCCCTCCTTGATTATTATTAGTGGTTCTAATCTTTCCTGTGGAAAACGAACAGAAACGACACCCTCTTGTGTCATATCTGTTGCTGATTTCTGTGAACTCTTCTTGTCAGGCTGTGCAAGGGAGATTCCATAGTGGCATCATTCTCAGGTAGGACAGGAAAGAAGGCTGAGAACAGTTTAATATTGCTGTTTGTTTAATTAGATAATTGCCACTGCTTTCTAACTGCTGACATATAAAGCTGCAACTCCCATCAGGCTGATGGAATGGCCATCTTCTTGAAGCCTTTCTTTCTTTTTCTTCTGGTGGCCTGTGCAAAGAAGTCATGAAGTGGGTATAGCTGTAATCTTGGTTCACTGGAAGGTCTTTCCCATCACCAAAGCCTTACATAGGTCTGGTAGGCTGCAGATACCCAGTGATGGTCTGTGCCTGGCATTCCTCAGTACCAGAGCAATGCAAACAGCTGGGAAGGAAACATCAAAAAAATAGCATGTGCGGTCCTGACATGGGATGTCTTACACTATTACTAACAATTGCGTGGCTAAGATTTTCCATGCGGCTGATGCTTTGGGTTTCTCTCTGTGTTTGAGTGCTGAATGGGTCCAGCTTTCATAAAACAATGAATAGTCTGCCTTTGAAAATCATCCTGTTGCAAATGTTTCACATTGGGCACCCTTATGGCTGTGTTTCCTACGCTGGCATGTCCCCTGAAGGTCACAACATGGAGCAAGCATGGAATTTCCTTTAGAAGTAAACATAATTGCTGATTGCGCCTGGTAATGGGGAATTAATGGAGGGATTTAGTTGATTAATGAAGTTAGGATGAAAAAGTTTGGGAAAAGGAAGCAGCTAAAATCATCACTTTCTTTTTTATTTGTTTGAAGATGTTTCCCTGTTACCAATGCGTTCATTAAATTAGCAGGGAGTTCTCTGTGTGCAGATAGTGGGAGAGTGTGAACGGACTGAAAGAACAGGGTTTTCTTCCCCTTTTTTTCTTGAAATTGCTTCAAATTGAGTTCAAAAGGAACGAACTGAAGCTGAATATCAGGAAATGTTTCCCGGTGTCATGGTGTAATAGAGCAGAAGAACTTCTCATGTCTGTAATGGAGATGTTGCTTGTGTAATTCATAGGAGAGCTGGGCAAAGCACGGGAGGGCAGAGTCCCAAGGGTAGCCCTGCAGGCAGCTTGGTCACCTCTGCCTCTCACAGTGCCGTGATGCTACTGGTGCCAGAGCAGGTGTGTAAAGGCAAAATCTACTTCATGTAACAGGATTGCGAATTGAAGTGAAATACATGAACAGGGGAAACTGTCAGAGTACCACAGAGATGTCGTATAAGCCACTGAACTGTGAAATGTGTATTTGCCTCCTCCTCTTCCCACAGTGTCATTCTGGACAGTGTGACAGTTAAGAAAATAATAGACCCGATTCTCATTTACAGCAACACCACTTTAACATGCTCTCACGATGCAGAAAGGCCTTGAAATGAGTGTAGCTGTAATCTCGGTCCACTTAAAGGTCTTCACCACTGCCAGAGCTGAGTGAAGAGGCCTTAGGATAAATAAGATTGAAGCCTGGACTGTTTAATAGTCCATTTGTACAGCTGACATGAGATGCCCCAAAGCAGGGGGTCCTTGCGCAGAAGTGACAAGGCCTTTCCAGACAAAGAGAATCATTAATGTTGGCTGTGGGGATTTGCAGGGCTGATCACCCTTTAGTTCCATCTTGCCAGGTGTAAGGCATGACTCTGTTCCTAGGGAAAAGGACTTTCATCAGGCTATCTCAGCATCCACTGTTCCTCTTCCCAAGTTGCTTCGGATGGCTGCTCTTGGCCCCGCAAGCCGTGCTGGCTCTGACAGCGACGGAGCTTCTCGCAAGTGTGCTGCTCCTTGCTCTGCTCTCTGCAGCTTCCCTGATCGCCGCCTCAATGTTTGGGCTGGGGGAAGGCTGTCTTCACCGCTTCACCTGTAGGCCATTACTGTCCTTAAATGACATGTGAAATCTCCTTTGGAGAGTGAGCAAAGTGTAGGCTGTGGAGCGTGTTTACACGGCTAATTGCTATGGATCCCTCTGCCCTTTGTGGGAAGGGGAGATCAAGGACTGTGGGCACATGCGTGTGCGTGTGACTCTTATGTGTACTTTCAGGAATTCACTGAGAGCCAACGTGCGACATCTCTTCTCTATCTCAGTCATAAAACATGGGAAATTGCCTTACCGTGCCTGATTGTCACAATTCCTGGAGTACTTGTCCTATTTCTCCCACTCCCTTCCTCTTGGATTTTCCATTGTTTGCGCTGTGCTCCTACCATCCCAGCATAAGCTGCAGAGGGGGTGCAGGCTCTCATTTCGGGTTCGGTTCCCAAGCTTTAACATGCTCCTTGCTGTTTTCTCTCTCCTGCAGGTACCTGATCAATGTCACTTTTGAAGGAAGGAATTTGTCGTTCAGTGAAGACGGATACCAGATGCATCCCAAGCTGGTGATCATCCTTCTGACCAAGGAGAGGAAATGGGAGAGGGTAGGACATGTTTGATAATTCTCGAACTGTGTTAGGGAGGACGATGGAGGAAGGCACTAGGCAAATAATTTCCTCCCCCCGCTCCCCGCCTTTCTGTCCTTCTTATCAGGGCCTGGCAATCTCCTCCTTGCATCCTGGACCACTGGTATCTCCAATACCCATGTTACTGTCTTCTCCATGCAGGATGACATTACATTCTTCCATTAGTGTGCATAAAAAATTCATCAGCTTCCCTTCTGTAATCGCTGAACATAAGTTTTCCTGCCTTTCAGAGAAGAGACCTCCTCTGTGCATCCATGGGTTTCAGTGGCAGAGACAGAAAATATTTCTCTGCATGGCTTGAAGGCAGTGAAGTTCTGTATGCTAAATGACTGTGATTGAGCTACAGCCACACTTAGTAATATGTGCCAGTGTTAGCTGTGCTTGATATATCTGGCCAGTGTCATTTGCAACGGGATGGTGCATTAAGTAGGATGTATACGTGAGATCATATCGAGTTGTTCAAAGACCCAAATTTGCATATTTCTGAATAATTTGCATGTAACCCGAAGCACCATTTTAGAAATGGTGTGGATTTCTGTGTTAGTGCAAAGCTTTGGTTCATTTCACCTCCCACACAAATGTCATTGGTCCAGGCTCAGAGCAAGCCCTCCCAGAGGGTTTGAATTGAAGGAGAGGGGGTAGTTTGAGGGCTAAGAAAGTAAGATATAAAAAAGTGATGGGGTTGAGAACTCAGAACGAAAGCAAAGAGAATTCAGCAGATCACTCAATAGATATGAAGCAGAGCTTGATCTGAATATGATCATGTGTATGACTTAGGAAAATGCCCCTTTGCCCCACCACACACAGAAAACCTTCTCTCCTTGTCTGCTTGTCTCTGCATGGACTTGCAAGTGGCCTGCATGGCTAAAGCCAGGCAGAAATTAATGGAGAAATGAGAATGAAAAAGGGAGCTGTCAGGAGAATTGCATTCAGAAGAGGGCTGGAGGAACAACTTTTGAAGGAGGCAGAAGAGCCGTTGTATTAGTGCCTGGCAGGCACTAAGACTTACAGTAGTTGCAGGAGTTTGGGGAGAGGGTTAAAGGCCCCAGCTTGTGCCTGGTTTTCAGTAAGACCTGTCTACCTCGTGGTCTTGGTGCTGTGCAGACCAGATGAGAGTGTATGGTCTGGGAAAGTCAGCAGAGGTCTCAGTGGGACAGGAGTGTGAGGAAACGTATGGCATGGCATCAGCATGCGTGGACAGCTCTTGGACATGTTTGGAGGCAGGCTGGCTGGATATCGCATAGGAGGTGGGCAGGCAAGGCTCAGGCTGTGGAGACCTCACGTCAGGCTCTGTCCATCACACAACTTCACTGAAGTCTACCAGGCAAAATCCAGGAGGATTTGTTCCCGGCTTGCACCAAATTTGCTCTCACAGAAGAACACTCAATCATCAGAGCAGGAGAACAAAGCAGTAGCAGCATGAATCCTGCTAGGGATTATTAGCAGGGCTGGCTGTGGGGGATCTGTGGCTGGGATGGTTTGCAGGCTCTGGGGAGGCACAGCTAAATGCAGTCCTGTTTTTATTTTGCTTGTCACATGCATTACCCTGTCGCACCCTCAGTGAGGGCTTGGCGGCTTCCATGAGTGGTAAGAGTGGTTGTTCAGTCTCTGAGAGCGTATCCGTGGTCTCTCAAATGAACCAGACAATTAGTGGAAGAGATGATGGTGAGCTGGAGTGTTGGGGTTAGACCTGGGACCTGCCTGAGCCTTCCTGTCTGTGCAGACTACTTGGCATCCATTAAACCAGAACAGTTCTTTGTTTGATAGGAACTGGGGCTGGATTGAAAAGAGACTGTCATGAACTATGGTATTAGTGGTATGAAAAGCCCATAGTGCTTCCTGAACACAAATGTTTTACCTTGAAGTGAGTGTCTCACTCAGTGGGAAGATCAGATCATTATAACCAAACTCTGAGCTGTTTGAATTTTACACTGGTAGATTCTTCCTGGAAAATGCAGAATTAATCTCCAGCATGCTCTGATCACAGACAAATACCTTTCTTACCTGGAACCTCATACTCTGTGTCTTAATTTTCTCCATTCAGCGGAAATGCAAACATTAAAATATAAGTGTGAAACAGAGCTCTTGGTGGCAAAAATCATAATTTTGTTTTGCATTTGCAGAGAGTCAGGCAAAGCAGAGTGCTGCTGGCCTTTAACAGCAGCTCCCAGGCAATGCCACGATACAAGCCATGAATTATTCATATATTATTAGCACACAATCTCAATACCTTTGTAAGTGCATTGCCTTGCAGTGTAAAATCGTCCAAACTCTTGCTAATTTTTTGCTAAATTAGCAAGGTGCTTTGTCCTGGCAACTTCTAGGCAATATATAGAAGAAACTGTGCAAAGTGCAGGAGACGAGAGATGAAAGGCTGCTTGGGAAACACTGATTCAGTCCACTTGTATGTGTTCACTACAGCTTAGTCTTTAATTACAGCGCTGCACACTTTTATCCATAATCAGATGCTGTGCCTGGAAGGAACATCAAGAGGTCATTTAGTCCCTCCCTGTGCCCAAGGGAAGGATCAATTAGACTGAAATTATTCCTGACAGATGTTTGTCTCACCTGTTCTGAGAGTCCTTCGATGCTAGAAACTCCATGAAATCCTGAGGCAATCTCTTCCATGGCTTCTTTCTCCTTACTCTGGAAAGTTTTTCTAATGTCTATCCTACATTTCCCTGACTGCAGTTTAAGCCCATTACTACTTGGCATCTCCTGAGTAGACATAGAGAGCTGTTTATTCTCTTCCTCTTTTTATCTTCCTCTTTGTATGTTTGAAGGCCTCTATCTTGTTGTCTCCCAGTTGTCTCTGCTGTAGATTAAACAAGAATTTGTTCAGTCTCTCCTGGTAGGTCATGTTTTTTAGTCTTCTGATCATTTTTATTAGTCTTCTCTGGATTTAGTGACACAGTTTGCTGCTCTGTACAGCTTGGTGCAGTTGATTCTTGAAAGATGGCAAATAGATTGTGAGGAGTACATCTCATGGGGTATGGATATATATATAAAGAAATGTTTTAAAACAGGTGCGAAGCCTTCCATTTTCTGAGCAGCAAAGATGCAGGCAGTGGCTGAACTGTTTCAGGATTTCAGGTCTGTGAAATTTTTTGAGATTTTGATTTTTCATTCCAATTTGGGAAGGAATATCTTCAAAACTTCACCAGTTATTTCAGAACAGAATTCATTTTCCAGAAGAGCTACAGCTGTCCCCAGACTCTGATGATGATACATCTCCTCCTGCGTCCTTCAGACAGACTGAAGCCTTGTAGGGCTGACAGTCATGAAAGAACACGTAGCACATCTGCTTTCTAGAACACGTAGAACACCTGCTTTCTAGAAAGGGGCAGTAATATGAGCTCTTCTGCTCTTGTAGCCATAAGTAATGATTTCTCTTGTGATAAGCAAATGCACTGCATTTCGTTCACTTCTCTGTTCTCCGCTCCTTAGGGGCAGAAGGCTGCATGCCTTCCCTCTCTACCTTTTAATTACCTAGTTAGTAGAGCTCTTTGCTTCGCTGGCCTGACAGCCTAGGTGTGTTTTGGATGCTTTGATGCCCGTTGTAGGTATCGCAGAGGAGCAGGTATGCATCTGGAGGTAGTGAAGGAGGTCCGCCCTTATTCCCCATGAAGGGCCCTGCCTCAAGGCAGAGACGAGTTGGGGCCAGAGGTCTCACAAGGCGAGCCAGAGGATCGGTACTACGCTAGGTTTTGTATCTGTGAGTTGTGATGTTTTTATGTGGGAAGAGTTTTCACCCAGGCTTTTTCTTTACTTTACTGATCGCCTTTCTCGTCTGCTCTCCTATAATCCCACATATGATGAGGACTTATTTCTGGGTTCATGATCCCTTTGTAAGAGCTGGCAAGTGCTGCTCTCCAGCTCTTGCTCACGTCCACCTTCCCTGCTGAGGCAGGGCACAGCTGCTCTGTCCCATTAGCTCCCAGTTCCTCCTGTTTACTGCTTCACTTTCCTCCAGCAAACCTGGGGATGACAAACATTGCTATCTGTGAGGCCCTGTTTGGGATTCTTTCTCTTTAATGTCTTTAATTTCTAGGAGTTTTGCATAACTTCTATCACAAGGTTGTTCTCAGCCTCTGCCTTTTGCTGATGCTTCTCTGCCTCTTCCCTTAGGTGTGTCACTGGGGATTCAGAGCACCTTTCCATGCAGCTCATGACAGCAACCTCTCGTGCCACCCCATAGAGCCCTTTGATTGCAGGCTCCCTGGGGCATCTCTTACCAGGCATGCTTCAATAACCCCTGCTCCTGGCTGGACGAGCAAAGCCCCAGGTGATGGATTTGGCCAGGGTGACACTACAAGCCATTTTAGAGGGGAGCAGATGGGAAACTGATGCTGAAAGATTCATTCTCCCTGCTGCATGTGCTAATCCTCTGCCCCTATCAACCCTCACCCCCCTCAGCAGATAAAATGTTTGCCTGCTGCTGCTCCTATAATTATCAGTGTTTGACTTCTGAACTCTTGAAAATCAATTAGCAGCATCTGTTCTGCTTCCTCTCGCCGTCGATGTGGCCATGATTACAAATTCCTGGGCAGGCTGCTCTTAGCCTGTTCCCCTACACCATTGCACACATTAGTGCTCCCTGGGAGTGGGGCCATTTGCTGTGACACGCAAACTGTAGGCTTCCAGTACTCTCTAATGCTGAAATAAAGTGAGGAATGGTCCCACTGCTCTGCCACATGGACTTTCCAGAGATGAGTTCAGCCTCAATCGTAATCCACAGATGAGTTAGCGAACTTGTGTGACATTGTCCCCTGTTTGGGACAGAGCAGTGTCATGCCCACCCATGCTTGGGAAAGGTTCTCTCAGGTTGTGGGAAGGAGCTACAGAAAGGAATGAAGGACTTAGAAAAGAAAAATGGAAAAATGAGGTTTGTTTTATCTAAAAAAAGAGGAAAGAGAAAGAGATAAGTCTTTGGACATCTAAATCAGTGTTGAAAAAAG